AACCTGTCATATATATAAAATCAATTTTTTATTATTGTCTAATTAAAGAATTTGATTAATAGTTTTGATAATTTTATTGATTTCTTTAAAGATTTTGAAATATTTGAAAATATGTAAATGTTCTCAGTATAAAATTTATATTTTTAATATAAAGTATCTGAATATTGATTAAAATATAATTGATAAAATATTTGATAAATAAATAGGATTTTTGATAATAATTTAATTTTGAATATAATTAAGTTACTATAATTATTATTGTATAGTTTTTTGATATTCTTGTTAGATTTATTAATAACTTTTAAATTATATAGAATATCTATATATCCAAAGATTTAAATAACAAAGGAATTTATATAAATTATATAATTTTTAGTAATACTAAAAATTTTTTTATACAATATAATACTTTTGCTTAGACATATATAATTGATTAGTGAATTTTTTGAAAAATGTAATAAAGGATTGTTCCATTAAATGGTTTTAGTTGACAATGATATGAATTTGAATTTGGAATAGATAATTTATATGAATTTTATTGTATTTATTAATTTATTCTTTGGATCAATATAGAGAAATTGATTTTTATTATTCTTTTAAAATACTCAGAAATTGATTAGATAATTTTTTTGTTGCTTCTAACTTCAATAATATTGCAATATGGATTTCACTAGACAATATCAAATATTGCAAGTAGAATATTACCTGGTAATAAATATGAGTTAAGAAATTTTACTTTGATATCATTTATAATTAAATTATTTTTGTAAAATTGAATGTAAACATATTGCTATAAACTGATTTCTTGTAATAGAATTTGAGAGAAGAGAGTAGTAGAAATGTTAATTTACTGTAGGAATTAATAGTTTTTTTATAAACTTTAATTTATTACTTTATATATATATAATTTTTTATTTTTGTTTTTAATCAATATATGACTAGTAAAATAAAATAAAGTTTATATAAATATTTCAAAAAGAATAATATTTATTTAAAAATTAATTTTATAAATACAAAAAAAAATGTTTTTTGATATTATAAATAAATATGTAATTATTTTAGATTTTAGATTTATAGCAATTATAAAATTTTTTAATTTTTTTAATTCATTATTAAAATTAAAATTCCCTATACTTTTACATTAAATCGTTCACTTGTTATTTTAAAAAAAATATGTAAATCTTGTCGTTTTGACCTTTAAAAAAATTCTGTGAAATTTTATGATAAAGATCTAATTTTTTAAAAAATTATAATTTATTTTGCATTTAATAATATATCGACAGTTTTTATGTTAAATTGAAAAAATTATAAACATTTAGAAATTTTTACATTAAAGAAATATATACACAAGGTACTTTATCAATGGTCAAAATTATTAATAAATTTGTTTCTAATAACACTAGAAAATTAAATTCAAGGCTGTCCAATAATTATTCGGACCAATAACCACTTATTTATGCCTCTATTTGATAAGTTTGTGACTTCTAAACTTTATTAATCTAATGTAGAGTATAAAATTAGTAAAATTCCCTATAAATATACACTGACGACTAATTACTAATTAATTGTTATTAGTATTATTAGTATATCCTTTGATTCAGGGAAATTCAATCCAAAATGATAAAGTTTAAAATCCTATTATTTTCTCTCATACATCGTAAATTCGTATTCAATCCCATTCTCCAATTGTCTACCTTTTGGCACCTTTTCCCCAACAAAATTCTCCAACTCTTCATGGGTTGTTAATCTGTACACACTTTCATCAATCTCTGGAAAAAAGGTGTCGCAATTGAAATCTTTGTACACTCTAGTTAAAAGAATGTATTTACATAATGGCGATTCGATCGCCTCTTTGTAGACAAATGACCCGCCCATTATAAAGATTCTCGAAATCGACGGCTTATTAACAATATCCTTAATGGCGTCATCTAGAGTTGAATAAATCAAATAAGTACCGTTACCAGACACGCTATTATGTTTGAAAAAACAAAGATTAGGATTTTGAAAAAAAGTGTAACTCATATTCATTTATCTTTATATAATACCTTTCATCCTTCACCATACTCCTTGAAATAACAACATTCAATCGATCTTTCAAAGGTCGATATTTTGATGGAATAGATTCCCAAGTTTTACGACCCATAATCACCACATTCTGACTTTTCTGATCTAAAATAGTGGCTTGCACATCCGAGGAAGAAGAATCATCCTTATCTTTTGGAATTGGTACTACGTGTTTAGTAACTCTTTCAAAATATCCCATTTCTCGTTCGAGTTTCCATGGCAATTTATTGTTAATTCCGATTCCCCAGTTGTTGCATGCAGCTAATAGTTATAGACAAATTGTATGTTTAGAACAAATTTGTGTTTGGAATATTACGGAAGATCTTACCGGCAATCAAAGCAAAATTTGGAGGTGCAAGTAAAGACATTTTCTCAAAAAAAAAAAACGCGGTATGAATGCCGTTAGTCGCGGTCTTTGTACGTTTAAAGTTTGCTCCCAACACGATTGACTTGACATGTGATACATCTCTGATTTGTTGGAATAAAAAAACGCGTCACAATATATAGTATATTAAATACTAGTTTTGAATTATATAAATTTATTACAATAAAAATTATATAAAATATTGCCTTAAAAGTTTTAAAAGTTTAATTCAAAGATATTCTGATTATATACTGTATATAGTTAAAATAGCAATTTTGACTTGAACTACAATAATATTATTATTCTAAAATGAAAAAAAGAGAATTTATTTTTAAAATTACAGTATATCCAGAAATTAAAAATATTTTTAATTGCAAACAGGCATTAAATACAAGATTTTATTTAAACAATAGGTTTATTGCCATTATATTAACAATCTTTGTAAAATGATATACAAGTTAATTGTAGCCTAAATATTTAAGTAGTAAAATAGTTTATACATAAAAGTTTTTTATATTATTATGTTTTTTATTTTAATTATAAAAAAATAAGTTACAATAATATTAATTGTCAAGATCCAAGATGGGGGTAGGGCCAAGATAATAGTAATTATGTAATTAAATTATGGGTTTTTTTTTGTTTAACCAGCTGGGCCTTGCCTAAACATACTTTATTATTTTATTTACATATGTATTATATATATTACAAAAACTACTATTTATAAACAATTCTACGTATTGTCAGACTATATCGATTTTACTTCATATTGGCTTGTTGCTGTCAGTGTTACCCTAAAGGAGTTGTACTGAGGCTAACATGCCAAAACCTTGTTAGTGTTATTATTATATCATTATGTTCTATTTGGCACTGTGAGAATTTTAAGGGAAAGTTTGAATATAGGGAACTGGAAGTAGTACCTATTTTTGATGAATAGAATTGCTGTAAAGAGAATCCTTTTAAATTTGACCATCTGCAGATAGGCATACCATTTAATTTCCACCTTCTTAAAGCTACCCAAAAATATTTAAGGAACTTATCTCACAGACTTACTGTCTATAGATTGTTTCGGCTATTGATACTTACTGCTGTTTTGGCTGCCTTCTTAGGATATGTAACTGTTGAAGTGATCTATTACTGGATTGAAATAAGACCTTTTCAGAAACTTGTAAGAAGAGACATCAGGTAGGGCTCCTAACGATACCACTTTAATACCAGTTCGATACTTAAATTTACTATAAAAACATATAAGTAGGTTATAACCTATATATTAAATTTACTATAGATCAATACCATTTCGATACCAGTTCGGTACATTTTCAGAGCCCTAACACCAGGTACCACAGGAAAACAATTACTAAGTCATCTTTTACTGAAAACAAATATCTCATACACCTTATAACTTCTGGTGATCATTGTAATACCAATCAGATAATCTTTGCACCACAATACCTTTTCTAGAAATCACAATTTTAATACTTGCTAATTCAATATGTAAAACAGTTTCTTATAAGAAACAGTGCTTATACAGATTATAGTGCCAGATACTATATTAATTCTATTCAACCTCTCTCATATGAAATTGAACTGCTATATTGTAATTTGACCTGTAAAGTGTTAATTACTATACTACAAATCCACAGATCCTTAATTATAATTTTATTTATATAATCTTTTTTTTTTTTAGAAAAAGCAGGCAACTCCCCGCATATGTTTTTATTATAAAATTTTAGACTTGTAACAGGGCAAGATTTTATACTTAGTATGCAATATACGTCTTCCTTGTTAGAAAGGGTTTAACACAAGGCCTACCATAAGGGCCCATCCGCCTGCGCTTCTTAGCACTACTCAAAAATACAGGAAAATGAATTTCAAAATCTATATTAAACTTTGAATAATGTCTAGCTATCTAGAATAAATGATATCTAATTATATGAAGGCGCTGCAGCCACTATATACAGGTTTGCCTCCAAATCATAACTAGGATTGGCATACTTGCTTTTCAAATATAACTTGATGTTTGGCAAGCAGATAAAGTGTTGAATTCAAACTATACTAGAAACAAACCATATTAAAATATTGTCAATCCTTCACCAACTGCATCTAGTATTGACCCTCCATTCAAACTCATTACTAGAACTTTAGGCTGAAGGGTAGCAACCAACTCCATCACCAATGCCATCCTAAAGTAGAATTAATCTTTCACCAACTGTACCTAGTATTGACCCCTCATTTGAATCCATTACTAGAACTTTAGGCTGAGAGGCAGCAATTAACTTTGCTGTAAGATAGCTTTGGAGAGTGTGTTTTGATTAAAGAATAGTTCAAACCCGAGAAATAGAAAAAGAAGGCTTATACGTAGAGTATTGGATTGTTGAAAAGAGTATTGGATATAGGAAAGTGGGAGTTTTCTTATAAGTATTGATACCTAACTAAGGATCCTAATGATTCTCTTCAATTTTGTATTTGATTCTCAAGTTTATATTAAATTTAATAGGTGGAATATACCTCACCATTATTTTTAATAGTATTTCAAACCTCATACGATTCTGTTTGATTCTATTCAATTTCAATTTTCAGAACCATATACTTAACCCTGTATACCAGACCTGCATTGTCGGAGAGGTGAGTAGAAAACTTTTGTTGTCATCACCAGCTTGTGTTGTGGGGGTAACTGAAATCCCTGGTCTCACATATTATCCTACTAAGTTTCCCTAACCACCAGTATGGCACCTGCAGCTAACTTATCATTATATTAGTGCATTGATATTGACTACCACATCACTCTGGAAATAGTAGGGCACAACTCCTTGGGTACTTTCGGATAATAATAGTTGTACACCGGTTTCTTAGATGTATCCAGTCTAAAAAAGCCATCACT